TGGATTCATGGCAGTTTCGCGCCAGGATCCACGCTTTGCGCCATGAATCCATGCGAAACACGTCGCGGGATCCAGTTTCGAGGGGACTATCTCAGGCGTTAGGGCACTACCTGAACTGCCGGTTGGGCAGTGGCTTAGTTAGCGCCCCAAAAGTACTTTCCACGTAAAATCTCCATAGGTCCAGACTTACCTGGACGCTGCCTTTAACAGTTTCTTTTTTTTTCAATAAGTTTTTAGGCATTTTTCAACAAATTGTCAACTTGCTATAACAAGATAACTTTTAAAAGCCTCTATCTTTAGTGTCTCTTGATTTACACCATCATTCATCAAACAAGTACTACCTCTAACATTTTGACAATAAGATGTGAAGTTTGGGCATTTTCGCGAAAATCAATTCTGCCCATATTTATTGACACCTTAGCGTCGCTGACACAGCGACCACGTTATCGCCGTACAGCTACCGTAATAGGGCGTAAATTGATATGCAGGGAGATAAACATCGGCAGCAATAAGGAAGTGCATTACTGGTACTTGCGGAATCCCAAAATTCGGAACAGGCAATAAATATGGGCAGAATTGATTTTCGCGAAAATGCCCAAACTTCACATCTTATTGTCAAAATGTTAGAGGTAGTACTTGTTTGATGAATTTACTAGTTTACTAGTGGCTGTTACGAAACTACATTGACAGTTATCTAGATCGTTCCTCACTTACAGGCATGACCCATGTAGGTCTTCGACTCAAAGCTTGGTTATGTCTAAGGCTCTAAAGTGATTCAAGCTCCCAGATAATGTTGATACCTTTTGTCAAGATTGCAAATAGTTTTCTTACTATGAAAATTGATGAATGAGTGGAACTCGCTTCAGCATTTCGGGCAGCATGGCATGTTGCCAATGTGTGGGTGACCGGAGCTAATGCCTTTGTCAGCCAATCGCTGTCCTTCTCAGACAATCGCAAAATATTAGGTTGTTACATAAGTCTTGTTACACTTAACTTCTTACGGCGATAAGTCAAGCACCTCACATTTTTTACAGGGTTCCAGGGTACCATTCGATAGAGCAAAGCAAGCTCTACAAGACAGTATGCAAAGATTCGCGCCAACTTCGACCCACTATAAGTTTGCATCCAAAATCCGAGTCGTACTAAAGGCTCAAAAATCACGAAAAATTCATATCTTCGCTCAAAAAAATTCTACAAATCTCCAACTTGCTCATAAAAATTGCACACTATATCAGACACTCATATGCACCGTTCCTGTATTTCTTCCTCATCTAGAAATCAAGAAAACGAAAATTTTCCTGTTTTTACAAAAACGAAGCTATGCTGTTTCTATTTATGTAGCTGTATACTACAAGCCCTTAGAAGTATAACCGTAAATTTTCAGCTTTCCAGAAGCCCTAATTTTCGAAAAATACCGAACTTAGTTTTTTTCGCCCGGGTGTTCAAAGCTAAATTGGGTAATTTTCGAAAATTAGGGCTTCTGGAAAGCTGAAAATTTACGGTTATACTTCTAAGGGCTTGTAGTATACAGCTACATTAATAGAAACAGCATAGCTTCGTTTTTGTAAAAACAAGAAAATTTTCGTTTTCTCGATTTCTAGATGAGGAAAAAATACAGAAACGGTACATATGAGTGTCCGATATAGTGTGCATTTTTATGAGCAAGTTGGAGATTTGTAGAATTTTTTTGAGCGAAGATATGAATTTTTCGTGATTTTTGAGCCTTTAGTACGACTCGGATTTTGGATGCAAACTTATAGTGGGTCGAAGTTGGCGCGAACTTTTGCATACTGTCTTGTAGAGCTTGCTTTGCTCTATCGAATGGTATTCTGGAGCGCTGTAAAGAATGTGAGGTGCTTGACTTATCGCCGTAGAAGTTAAGTGTAACAAGACTTATGTAACAACCTAATACTTCCGAGGAAGACTGAATTTTTAAAGCTTCCGGGATGAAAGTTCCTTTTGGGCCATGTGGGTGGGTCGCGTCATATCTGGCCGCGCCCTACCTATCAGCTCCACCAAGAGTGTCCCCTTGGAAGTTTTAGAACTTCAGTTTTCTCCGGAACTATTTTGCGATTGCCTGAGTTACAAGGCTGATGGTCCATTTTCTTCAAATCATTCGGCCAGATACACGAACTCAATGTCTTCGCGAGTTGGAAAGCAAAATTTCAGTGTATTCAGAATTCAAAGACAAAAAAATCTAACTTGACATTTTGCCGGCAATGCATTTTATGTTATGCTGTTGTTGTGGATGAAGTAGCGAGAAGAGAATGATGGTCAAAGCGAGTTTATGAACTCTATAAAAGCTCTTCGCGACTGCGACTGGCCTTCTATCAATTTGAATGAGCTCAATTAAAAGAAAGACATAAATAATGGCGATAAATGCTCCACATAATTTAGGAAGCCAAACTTGTCTTCCCAAATTAGACTTGACTCAGTACTCGTAGAAAGTTTACTCAAAACAACTGTAGACCGCCTTATGGCTCTAAATGTGGCAGGAAGCATTTTTGACGAGCGTTCAATTCGTAATAGGTTTTCTTACAACCATCACTACTCGAGATTAAGATTTCAAGATCAATTTTATTGTAATGAGAGACCCATTGACCGATTGTACATTAAAGGCACCGTCCACCCTAAGTTGAGGCTGTTGAGCTTTTGGCAGCATATAATAGTAGGACCCCCTATCAATCCAATGCCCGCGGCGCAAATTGTCGCTTCGGAAGCGAGAAAATCGCTTCGGAATAGCGAAGATGCACGAGGACCCTCATCCATGCCCGCCCCTCCTCATCCATGCCCGCCCACTTTTTCGCGCCCGTCCAATAACCGTTCCGGAAAGCCGGCCTGCGGGTTCTCCGGAACGGAAATTGTCGGGGTTTTCGCGCATTCTCGACTTCATATTCGGAATCAGAAACATGAGAAGGCCCTGAATCGACAAAAACGTTAAGGTCTAAAATCTGGGTGGACGGTACCTTTAATAGCTACTGCAAAATCTAGCAAAAATTTTCAAATTTTTCACGAATAATGTTAGTTGTGATGTATCCCAAAAAATGGCTTCTTTCAAAGCCTATTTAGTGTATCCTGGTCAACAACTTCCGCTATAAGGTCTGCCCCAATCGGGATCAAACCGTCGGCTGAATTTGCGCGCTTGTAGCTCTAGGGATTTGCGTTGGTATGCGCACAGTCGGAGAAAGCGATGAGACTGAGTAGAGAGCAGACTAACTAGACGCAGAAGTGACGTAATAACCTCGCGACACGGATTCCCGCCCTGTAATTTCGGCCTGACTCGGATTGGGGCACACTCTAAATACATGATGCTTAAGGAAGACAGATTGACTGGCGCAGAATGTATGGCATAGCACAAGGCCTGCTACTCTAGAACAATCGAAGGTACTTAGAACACAATAAAAAAATTAAGGAAACAAAGAAATACCCACAAATACAGCTTAAATCCAGCCTCTGAAAGTTTTTTTCAGGGGTAGAAGAAATGAAGGCACCATTCACCCTAAGTTCTATCAAGCTTTCGGAACCATACGATAGTAAAGCTTTTTCTAGGCAAAGATCGAGGCGCAAAATGTCGGTTCTCGGGTTCGGGTTCTCCGGAACGGGAATTGCCGGAGCTTTGCTGATTCTCATATCATATTTGTTCATGAGAAGACTTCGGTACGACAAAAAACTTGGAAGTTAAGGATCTGGGTGGACGATGCCTCCAGGTTTGTTTACCATGTATGAAGTCAAATGATAAATCAATATGATGACCAAGTTGGTCCATTTATTTTTATGTAGGTTAAACCATATTCTACGAAAATTCAAGCTCAGATTTAGAAAATTCAAGCTCACAAGGAAACCGTGTCGAGTCGAAGTGGTTTTTCCAGATGAGACCCATACTGCTTTGAAGGGTATTGAACGGTGATTCCAACCTCTGGACGCCAAGTTATGACCGTTCTTCGGAACGAAAAATGAATGCAGAATTTAAGTAAAATTGACTGTTATAATCATTCCAGCGCTTAGATAAAGCAATGTTAAGTATTAGCATATTGAATAAAATGTATTCATTGCATAAACAGCTCTGTTATTTGACAATGGAGCATTCAGGCGAATTTGGGCGATTTTGCTTCAGTTTTGCGTTCAATTTTTTGACCTGAAAGACGAGCATAACTCGGCGTCCAGAGGCGCTTGGTAGATTTAGAAAGAAGATTTGGAATCAACGATTAAAGGCAGCGTCCAGGCAGATCTGGACCTATGGGGCTTTTACGTGGAAAGTACTTTTGGGGCTCTAACTAAGGCACTGCCCAAGCGGCAACTCAGGTAGTGCTGTAATGGCTGAGATATTCCCCTGGAAACTGGACCTCGCGACCATGTTTCGCATGGATTCATGGCGCAAAGCGTGGATCCTGGCGCGAAACTGCCATGAATCCATGCGAACACGGTTGCGGGGTCCAGTTTCGAGGGGAATATTTCAGCCATTAGAGCATTACTTGAGCTGCCGCTTGGGCAGTGCCTTAGTTAAAGCCCCAAAAGTACTTTCCACGTGAAAGCCCCATAGGTCCAAATCTGCCTAAACGTTGCCTTCAATGCTCTTCAAAGCAGTATGGGTCTCATCTGGAAAAGCCACTTCGACTCGAGACGGTTCCTTTGTCAGATTTACAAAAAAAATTTCGAGCATTTTAGGACAAATTGTACACTGTCCGCAAAAGTGCGCTATAAACGACAGATACTCTTTGTTAACAAAAGTAGATTGTTAAATTGAGTGAAACAGCTCTATAAGCAAGGCATATGAATGAGAGCAAAGAACATTTCTCAAAGTGCTATTGAGCCAGTTCTAAAATAATTGCGAATGAAAATGTATTGCACAAAACGGGGCTGCAGTTGTTGCAAAGAGGGACAACAGCTGTGCGAACGGGCACGTTTGCGGCTCACACAATGCAAGCCAATCTACGCACTCAACCTAGCCTGCACTTGTTTATCAATATAAAAACATTGTGTTCAGTAGTCGCTAGATCGAAATGCTTGTGCATTTGTGCGCAGTATTCTTACTTGTTGCGGTAGCTTATATCCAACTGTGTTTATGTGACAATTAACGAAAAAAACATATTCAGGTCTCACCGATATTGACCAAAGAATGGAATTGCCGTAAGCCTAATGAAAATAGCTGGGAAGGAATTGCACTGAAAAAACTCCAGAAAATCCTCAATATCGATAACCTCGTTAGTTTTACATGACAGAGCTCAAACTAGCTATCAAGCAAGAGCTGCGTCTACAGCATCAATGAAAATTGTTTTCTCTTTCTAGACATACTGCGACGATAATGAGCCATTGGCAAAAAGGTGTGCACAAAATTCTATTGACTATGAATTCGAATTCGAGACTTCGTACTGTATACCATATGTTTATAAGTAAGCTTTGCCAAATTGCACCATCATTTCTTTCCTGTTTTCTCACTTTAGGCCTGTCAACCCCGAGCGCAACCACGATAAGAAGAAGGTGACCAACAAAGACATCGCGGTTATGGTTGCATTAGAATACGCAAAAACTTGTTATCGCCCGGTAAGTAAGTTGTAACCACATCCATTCCTTTGAAGTATTTACTCACTGTCAGTCGTCCAAAATACAGTACTCATTTGGGATCGATAGGAAACAAAAAATGCCTACTTGCGTCTCAAATATCTCCAACAATAATAATACAGTGCTGTACATAACTATAGGGACACTCTAGAAATCGTCGTAATTTTCGTTCTTGTCAATGAATCTGTCTGAAACTTTGCTTGTTGTGCGCATGTCAACCTACCATGACCCTCAAAACGGCTTCCAGTCTTGTTGAGTTTGAACGGAGAAAAACGAAAAAATTTGAAAAAGCCCTCTTCGAAAGCTGGACGTAATTATAAGGACACTTGATTTTTTCAAACACTACTGCATCCCCTGGCTCTAAAATTTTTTTACAGTTATATACCAAGATATGTAACATTTGCAACACTTGCGACCTGTTATCCTTTCCAAACAGAAATAATTACTGCATTTTTTACTTTCAAAAGCATCAAAAGTGAATGTGCTTTAATAAACAGCTGGTTTGTGGAGTTTTCAAGTTCTTGTACGTTTCAAATGATAATCATGCGATTTAGACCTGAAATACTTTCCACGAGAAATCCCTGCGAGCAGAAGATTCGATATAACCCTAGATCTCCTTATTGTCCTTTGTGTTTCGTGTCATATTTCACCCGATGAATGAGATTAGCTAAGATATTAGAGTTTCAAGCGTCTCCGGTTTTATCTCCTGATCTGAGTTGTCTTTGATTGTGCAGGGCGCTCCACTCACCATTCAGTGGATGTCAACTGCGGCTGAACCAGAGTGCTCAACCTCGAAATTTTTTCCAAGTCATGCACACGAGTTCATTGCTGTATGGCTGTCGTAATGGCTACATTACAGTATTTTCTGTTGCTTGAAAATCGAGTTTTGTGGTGCAAAAGTGCGTCAACCCAATGGTAAGCTTGGAGTCTGTGTGTCAAAATCAGCGCAATTACGCAGAGTTTACGAAAACGCTGTTCACCTCATCTATCCAGAAGGGTCAGTAGATTACATGATTATCATTTGGAATGAACAAGAGCTTGAAAACTCCACAAACCAGCTTTTTATTAAAGCACATTCACTTTTGATGCTTTTGAAAGTAAAAAATGCAGTAATTATTTCTCTTTGGAAAGGATAACAGGTCGTAAGTGTTGCAAATGTTACATATCTTGGTATATAACTGTAAAAAAATTTTAGAGCCAGGGGATGCAGTAGTGTTTGAAAAAAATCAAGTGTCCTTATAATTATGTCCAGCTTTCAAAGAGGGCTTTTTCAAATTTTTTCGTTTTTCTCCTTTCAAACTCAACAAGACTGGAAGCCGTTTTGAGGGTCATGGTAGGTTGACATGCGCACAACATAGCAAAGTTTCAGACAGATTCATTGACAAGAACGAAAATTACGACGATCTCTAGAGTGTCCCTATAATTATGTCCAGCACTGTATAATGATTTTCAGTTTTTCTGAATTATACTAGATCTGTTATAGTGGTAGCTTTATTCGTCTTCGCCTAATCGACGCTTCCGTCACCCTGAGAGGCCTAAAATTAAATAAAAAACATAATCTGCAAAAAAGACCATAAATGCCTCTTCATGCTCAGCTAGTTTCAACGTTTTTTTTTTCAAAATTTAGCCACAGAAAGTTCGAAAATAAAAATAACCTACCACGTACCAAATGCCGTTATACCACTGACATTTGAAGAACTCGGAAGAAACCGACATAACAACATTATATAAAGGACAGAAGCAGACATTGAGCGATACTCTAGGATCGCAAGTAGAGAAATTATCTATCTTCCAAAGTTCACATAATGGTATATGCGGCAGAAAGTCTTGTAATAGACCACTCATTTTGGTTATTTATTTGTGGATTTTTAGAGGAGGTCCAGACGCTTCCAAGATCCTTGTAGTTAAGATTTCTTGTTCGTGCGTTAATATCTTGACTTTGATTTCGAATCATCTTCCCATTAACGGAGAAATTCAATATTTGCTAATTTTACTTCAATTCAATGTAGTTCATCCTCCGGCATGCTCTTGTACTCAACGCGGACGCCTATGAAGACACAATTTAGCAGAGCTTGGACCAAATTAACTCTAACAAACGTTTCTGCTAAAGAACTCAAGGGAAGCATATTGTCAAGTGGCCTATATAGATGGGATCTAAATCAACTGGAGAGCCGAAAACGCTAACTACAAATCTGCCTTCTTTATATGCGGAACGTTTGTGAACAAGAGGTTATGAGCAGAATCAAGCGTGGGGTGCGGCACGCCACACCTGGTGGGTGTATTGAGGAGTCAAAAGGGGAGGGGGTCGTAGTTGGATAATCTGATAATAGTGATAACATGATATTCGCGGCCGCCGCAGCTTTTAAGGGGGTGTGCCGCACCCCATTAACTATATCAAAAAAACATTTTTAGCGGACAGTATTTATATGAATCGATAGCCTAAACCTTGTAGATTCCATAGGAATGTTTGGAGCCTGATCCGTCTTCTTAGCATTGAATAATATTTGGTGAAAGCACAGCGATCAAAAGCGAAAAATGGGAAAAACGAGATTATGGTTGGCTTCTAATTCCACAGTTTGGAGGTCTTCTGAAGCGGGATTCCTGAGATGGACAAAGAAGGAGTAGTGCTTCGTCTTGAGTGCAAAAACGGATAGATAATTCACCTTTGAAACAAAGTCAACCATGTTGGAATTTGACCAGAATTCGCTCACACTTTGTCTACAGGGGTTATGCATTGACATACTAATTATGGATATGTTGCCCATTATGTTTGACAGGGCCTTCAAGTAATGCTATCTTAAGTGTATAGTTTAGGGGGGGGGGTCTTATTATGACAGCAATCAGGGGGGGGGGGGTCGTAACCAGCGATCGTGTGCCACACCCCTTGCTTGACCCTGGTTATGAGCGTTTATTGAGACAAAAAAGAAAAACTGCCTTTACGATGAAATGGGTTGCTAAAATCTCCCTCTCCTTTGCTAAAGCAACTTAGTTGATATATTTTCTTATTCGAGAGCATTTATCGAATAAAGTCTAAGATAATTATCATTGCTCCATTCTAGAATAAGTATTATGATAATTTCTGGCCCATTTGATTTGAACCAGTAATTTTATCTCTCTATTGGAAGCTCATAATTCTTTTTTTAAAAGCTTTTCGCAGATAAAGAAGATAGATTTGGAACAAGCATTTTCTGCTCTTTAATCTAGCGACTAAATATGTCAGGGCGAGCGGTAAGGTGGGAGACTCCAAGGAGAAAGCTTGCGGACTTTTGTTTTCCTTAAAAAAAAACCGAAAGGCCATGAATGTGATTAATAGAAAGTATAGTTGAAACGACCGGAACGACGAACGAACGAATATCGAATAAGCGGCTTCCGAAAACATTCAAACGAAAGGATATTAGATTTGTGTTCTTTCAGATTATTCGAATTTGAATATTCGAACAACGCTACATTTCAGAATTCGAATGTACGAATATTCGAATAAATAAGGCAAGTATTAGGTTGTTACATAAGTCTTGTTACACTTTACTTTGATTTCTTACGGCGATAAGTCGTGAACTTCATAATTTTAAGAGGCTGCAGGGTACCATTCGATAGAGCAAAGCAAGCTCTACTAGATAGTGTGCAAAAGTTTGTACCAACTCCGGCCCACCGTAACTTTGCATCCAAAGTCTGACTCGCAGTGAAGGCTTAAAAAATGCGAAAAATTCATATCTTTCTTCAGAAAAAATCCTACGAATCTCCAACTTGCTCATAAAAATTGCTCACTTTATCAAACACTCATATGCTGCTGTTGCTGTATTTTTTTCCTCATCTAGAAATCGAGAAAAGGAATTTTTCAAAGTTTTTACAAAAACGAAGCTATGTTGTTTCTATTCATGTAACTGTATACTACAAGCCCTTAAAAGTATAACCGTAAATTTTCAGTTCTCTAGAAGCTCTAGTTTTCGAAAATTACCAAATTTAGCTTCTCTCATTCGGGTGTGTAATGCTAAATTAGGTAATCTACGAAAACTAAGGCTTTCGGAAAGCTGAGAATTTACGTTTATACTTCTAAGATCCTGTAGTATACAGCTACATGGATTAAAACAGCATAGCTTCGTTTTTGTAAAAACTAAAAAAATTTCCTAGATGAAGAAAAAATACAGGAACGGCACATATGAGTGTCTGATATAGTGGGCAATTTTTATGAGCAAGTTGGAGATTCGTAGGATTTTTCTGAACGAAGATATGAATTTCTCGCAATTTTTGAGCCTTCACTGCGAGTCAGACTTTGGATGCAAGGTTACTGTGGGCCGAAGTTGGTACAAACTTTTGCACACTATCTAGTAGAGCTTGCTTTGCTCTATCGAACGGTATCCTAGAGCCTTGTAAAGAATATGAGGTGCATGACTTATCGCCGTTAGAATTTAAGTGTAACAAATCTTATGTAACAACCTAATAGAATACTCGACTATTCAAATAATCGAATATTTACTTAGATATGGTCGTGTGTCCGACTATTTGAATATTCGAGTAATCACACCAGTTCGAATATTCGACTATTCGAATAATTCGAATTATCTAGCGGCTCAGACATTGCTAGTTTTTTCTTTGTTGCAGTTTTCTGCAAAGAGCTATGTTCGACCTAGATTTGTAACTGATAATTATACCTAGCAAGAAGTAACGATGACTGGGTTATTGTCGCTTTGTCAGGGTTCATGTAGTTCAAAGTATTCATTGTCCTCCAAGACGGCTACTAAGCCTTGATGACCTTAATAACCGTGAGTCCGCATTTATTCTTTCTCACGAAAGTTCCTCCCAATGCTGCAAATTCAACAAAGAAAAGCTTTTGGAATGGGTAGTTATTTGTGCTTTTTTCGTAATGGTCAGCATCGCGTGAGTTCTAAGACTAGCACTGGGAGAGCACGAGAAAGCCTACAGTAATAGAAACAGTGATTGCAGCAGAGTTGACGCATCCTTGTCTATATAATACTTTTGTGCGC